CGGCATATCTCAACTTTACAGCTCTTGCTGTTAGTAAATCAGGTTTGAACAAGGCATTACAACTTTGCAAAAGGGAAAAAACCTGCACCAATGCTGGAACAGCACCAAAGAATCAGGAGCTAAGAAAAAAAGAGGGTTGGGGGCTTCTGGGGAACCTCAGCGGGCCAAATTGGGACCCCATGCCAGCTGAGGTTTTGCATCCTTGCTTCAAACAACTATTTCTTATGGATGACTTTGTTGCCCTTGATTTGACATTGGCATTTAACTCAGCTTGTTGTAGGAGATCAGAGAGATGCTGAAGGCTGATTGAAATCTGGTCTGAAAGAAAGGGCCACCTGTTCTATCCACTCCCTGTGATGGGAATGACAACATATTTGGCATCCCTTAGCAGAAACAGTGCATAAAGTGCATAAACAGAGCTGCAGTTTTCTGTGCTTGAAGTAATGCATCTCGGAAGAGGTCCAGCTTCCTAAGAGATCCTAAGAACATCATGTCTGCATTCATTGATCCCAAAATCTATGTCTTCCTTCCCCCTCCATACAAGGAGTCATTCAAAACTGCTGATGAGGTTTGAAGAGAGACATAAGGATTTTAAAAAACCATAATTGAAAAACTATATTAACATCCTAAAAGCAATACTGAGAAATAAAAACTCAAAATGGCCAAGGCTACAGATAAGCAGCAAAAGAGTAAAAGCTTCAATTAAATGGCATAATCCTATGAACGTTTAGACAGAAATGAGGCCTACAACTCCCAGCATGTCCCAGCCAACTATAAGATTGTGCCCTTAATTAAAATTATTTTTAGACTGCCTTTAAAAGAAAACTCTCTCCAGGCGGTACACAAGATAAAAGCCATGCAAACTTTGGAAACAAAAAATGATGACAAAAGCAATAACATTAGCAGCTCAAACGCTCCCAGAAGTTCAGCAAAAACAAGCTTTCCTTAAAGACCAGCAAAGAAGGGTCTAAAATAAATGTGAAGATGCTTAAAAACAAATTTGTTGAATTGGGGGCAGTGCACAGGTATGGAGGGAGGTAACAGAGGCACCCCCAAACCGCTCCACATGTCAGGGATGTACAGAGTTATGGCTCCACCCATTGCCAGAACTGTGCATTATCTTCCTCCTTTGTTAGACACAAAGCGCACTGGAAGTTTGTGAGAAGGAGTTTTCTGCACATACTTCCATGCTGCTATTAGGCCCAGGGGAAATAAACATTTGCCACTAGCAGAAATGGGGGCTCCCCCCCCCACCCCATAATAGCTAATAGCAACTTGGGTGGGGAAGGGCTAGCAACTGGACACACTTGCAAAACTGAGGGAACATTTGGTGCACATGACCCCCCCCCCAACAAACCCCCAGTGATCCTGCCAGAAAAGGGATAAGGTGCTTCCTTTCCCAGAGAAGGTTCACAGTGGTCTTTGGAAGCATTGGGCTGGCAGGATTTTGACAGATGTCAAATACTTAATTGCAAAGAGGGAATTCCTCCTTGAAACTCTGAATGGAGCCCTGGACAGGGTGGGTATTTTCTGGACTTTGCCAGCAGACACCTCGTGCCCATTACCCAGCTGGGTTCTCCTTGCTGCTCCCAGATTACTGCCACCATCTGTTGTTGTGTGAGAGTGGAATTTAAAAAAAATAAATTTGCAAAAATTAGGGAGTTTAAAACTCCTTTAGAAAAATAATTGGCAAGCATAGGGCAGCTCGCCATGGTCACAAAAGCCACAGTCTGAAGGGAAAAATTAAAGTGCCCCCAAGCCTTGGCAATTCCAAATGGGCTTGGGGAGGCCGCAAGGATGGCGTGACAGCTTGGGAGGAACAAAAAGGGAAGGAAGAGGCAGTCTACCCATGATATACCTAGTGCTTTCTTGGGCACATCAGGGGTAGGTGGCTTATGGTGTGGTGCAAACCCACCCATTGCTTCCTCCAAATTTTACCCCTGCTGGCCTGACCAGCTGCCTCCCAGACCAGGTCACTCTTCCTCTTTCAGGATGCGAGTTTGCAGCAGCCATTCTACTCGCTGTGAGTGGCAACACTGATCTAGTTGCTCAGTACACCATTAGAATCACATGAATGTTAAGCTTCCGTATGCCCATGCATCATCATTCAAATTTCTCAAACGTTGGAGCTGTTCAGTTTGCCATTCAACTCTCTGCAGGCATGTTTTTCCATCCAGGTCAGCTTGGACATGGACAAACGATATGCTAAAAGCTGAAAGAGATCTAAGATGGAGCTCTAGCCTTACCTATTTCTTCCTTTTGTCCATGATTTATTCAAGACAACCTTGCCAGGATGGCTTTCCTGGGGAAAATAATACAATATAAACTGAACAAACAATTCTATTAACAGAAACAATACAAGTTATAGAATAAAGCAATATGAGCACAAAGAAAGCTAAAACAGCCAGTTACTTAACAAAATAACTGGAGATAAAGGTCATGGTTTAAATGGCCGAGACTAGAAAACACTTTGCCTGGTCCTGACATTACATCAGAATATGAACAGGATGAGCCTCAGGATGAGAGAGAATCCCATTACTGGGGTTGCCACCACCGAGGCCCTTTCACTGGTATTGTCAGAATCCCGGAATCTCAATTTGAGAAGAGGAAATAAAACTCGGGTTCGTGGGAAAGATCAAGCGTCCAGACCATCTTGGCTTTATTGCATTACCCAGGTTCCCACGTACTCACGATGATGCATGCATTACCGGGCAGGCAGAGGTGAGCTCTGCTGCAAAGCTTCAACACCATTACAGGCCATTTATACTCTCTTGGTCACATCACAGGTACAGGGCAATTGATGACAGAATTATTATTTATTATAATTTATTTAGTAAGACATTTTTATGCCCCCCCATTCGCCGAAGCCTCAGGGCAGCTTACAACATTAAGTTAAAATACAAATATATTAAATTAAAATACAAACATTAAATTATAACCTTAAATTAAAATGTTTGTAAAGTGTAAACATAAAGTTAAAACACAAAAATAACAATATAAAATAAGTCGCCCTGGCCAGATAAAATCCAATAATATTAACAATTAAAATGATGCTTAAATAAAAAGGTCTTCGCCTGGCTCCGAAAAACAAATAACGATGGCGCCAGGCGGACCTCTCTGGGGAGCGCATTCCATAGATTAGGCGCCTCCGCAGAGAAAGCCCTCCTCTGAGTCCCCACCCTCCTGATTTCTTTCACGGAGGGTTCCCGGAGAAGGGCCTCCCCCGCAGATCTCAAGGGGCGGCTGGGCATATATGGATGTAAGCGCTCCTTCAGGTAGCCAGGACCCAAGCCGTTAAGGGCTTTATAGGTCATAACCAACACCTTGAATTGGGCCCAGACTTCAATCGGGAGCCAGTGGAGCTGACGGAGGACTGGAGTCATGTGAGCATAATGCCCCGTCCCCGTCAGCAGCCTGGCAGCTCTATTTTGAACCAATTGAAGTATCCGGACCGTCTTCAAGGGTAGCCCCACGTAGAGCACCTTACAGAAGTCAGGCGGGAAGTCACCAGCAGACATTACAATAAGATTCTGAGGTCATCACATACAGAACAGATAAAGGAATGCCAGTCAATCATACAGAGACAATGAGATTACAATATTTCTGACTACAGTGTATTGACACTTTAGTTGAGTAACTTGAACCCATCTCCAGGTCTGCTTAAGACATGTAAAATTCAAGCTACTGAGAAACTATTCATGATAAGCTCAGACCCTTATCTAGACTCTAGACATTCTGAATGACCAGGGCACATGAAGCCCTCTGGGCTAGGAAGATACTTCCCGGGAAACTGAATTCCAATGCCATTTTAAACAGTGACTTAGCTTGGTTTTGAAAAGGAGTACAGGGTTTGATCCCACAATGCAAAAGCACACAGAAGTAATGCTTTTCAGACAGGATTTATCCAAATTTTCCCAACAGTTTCCAATGTATAAATGATCTTAACACAAGAGGGGGCTTCATTTTCTGTCTTCTGCCACCCACTTTCTCTGTCCATTTTTCTCCCTCCATCTCTCACCCTCTCTTTCTCCGTCATTGCCCAACAGCCTGCCGAGAAAGGTACTGATCCCTCTTGCCAGAGGTCTGAAGCAATTGCTTGCAGGTGGCTTTGAAACTAGTTCCAGGGCTATGTGAGATTTGGCAATGAGCCACATGCCAAACAAGGGCATTGGTTGCCCCAGCCCTGTGGCAGGGGGTGGGTGCACAGGTCCCCAGCTCTGGTGAGCTTTTTAGCCAAAGGCTACAATGACTCTCTTGCTGGAACAACTCCTTGCTAGGATGAAAGAGATTATCAGTATTCTGAACAGGTAATCCTGCCTCATAGTTGGAATAGACAAGATGTTATTAACGTGCTTGCCAATTGACCAAGCAAAAGGCATCCACCTGCCTTGTGCTGCATAAATCAGCCAATGCACCTTTTCACCGCATGCCTCTTGACTTACTTCTTAATCACCACCTGAATCTGGAGCTTTTCAAAGCTGCAGTTTGAAAACAGAAGTGGGGGCCAGAAAAATAATGTCAACCTAATTTCGAAACCCACGTTTCAGATAATTTGCTTGCTTTACATGGGGCAGGAATCACACACCTTTAACAAACAGCTGCAGAGCAGTTAAAAATGGCATATGTGAAGATTTTACCCAGGTGGAAAGGTTTCATCCTGCAAATTTCCTGCCGCCTTGCACAGAAGCATGGTAGAATTGCCTGTTTTTTTAAAGGGCTATGTACCCTCCAAAGGTGTCATATCAGGCTACAACGCCTATCATCTGCAGCTGTACACATTGCCCCTGTCCTGGCTGGGGATGATGAGCATTGCATTCCAACACATCTGGAAGTCACCTGGTTGAAGAGGGGTGCCCTGTATATGCAACTGCTGAAGCTCATCTTTGCCTTTCTGCCCTTCTTTTCCTTCCTTCCTTCTCTTTTAATGGAGACGGGGATTGCTCCATGCTTTGCCCCATGCTTTAAAGAGAGGAAATTACCTACAGATTTGGGTGGAAGGAGAACCAACTGGCTTCGGGAAAGTAAGCCTGGAATCTGTGTCAGCTCCTTTTGCTTTTGTTTCGAAAGGGTCTGGCTTGCACACCTCCTGCTCCGAGCCTTCAGGGAAAGAGGATGTGATAAATAATGCATGCCAAGGTCATCCCCATCCCCTCCCAAGACCCAGCAGCCTGTGCACACCAGGCTCCGGAGAAATATTCATTATGCCTGCTCTGTCACAACCAGCAATGCAACCCGGGTTCCTCCTCCCGTCTCTTCTGTTAAGGTTTTCTTTCCTCCTGCAAAGGGAGAACTGGATTTTCCCACCACCGCTCCTTCCCATTTTTATTTTGCATGTCTCGAGTGTGATCGGAGCATTTTCCAACATGAGGAGGGAAGAAGGGAAGGCCCAGGGGAGTCTGATAGATTGGAGGGGGAAAGGCAGCCTGCGCCGCGTGGGCCAAAGGGCCGCATCCCATTTGCAGACATCATCTGGACAGCTGGCAGGGTGCCAGGTTTTTTAAATGAGACATGGCAGTCAGATGATCGTCTTAAGCACACCCCTCGCCAAAGGGCCCTGGCTTCTCTCTCGTCTGTGTGTCCCTCCACTAAATTCCCTTGTGCGTTTGCTTAGCCACGCTTTATGAACTACCCACGGCCCAAGACTGCTTTGGGGTTGAGATGGTTTGTTACCCGCTCAGATGCTGCACCTGATACATGTCGCAACGAACTGCAGTGCCTGCCATGCCCTGAACCTTCGCACTGGCAACCAGCCCTGCCACAACCCAGTGTGGTTTAAATAAGCCGTGGCCGGCTTCAGCTGACTTGCAAAACAGATCTTTGGATATTCAGCCCTGAGCGAGCCGGCCTGCTGGCCTGGCTTGTGGGAAAGCAGCTCCCTCTGTCCTTGTAATGTGCCTCCAAGAACCCTGTCCAAGGAGGAAGAAGAGAAGAGGACATCTGGGGGTGTTACACAGAGATAGTGTGGTGTAGTGGTTAGAGTGCTGGACTGGACTTTCTAGTCCCCACTCAGCCATGAAGCTCCCTGGGCAACTTTGGGCCAGTCACAGATGCTCAGCCTAACCTCTCTCACAGGGCTGTTGTTGTGAGGATAAAATGCAAAGGAGAAGAACCTTGTGAGTTGCTTTGGCTTCCTTGCAAGAGAAAGAAAGGTGTGGTAGAATAGAAATATAATGCAAGTAAACGGAGTAATGTCAGTACAAGTCTCCCCTCTGTACCTTTCCAAACTTTCCTTTCACACACAGCTCCTTCACGGCTTGGGGAGCCACTGTCCGTTCCCTTGGATTTACTGATATGGTGCCTTGTCCTGCATTCAAACAGGGCCCACAGACACGCGTTTCCTGGAACTGCCTCTCTTCCCCACAACCATCTGCATGTCCAGCTGCCTCTCGCTCTGGCCCAGACAAGAGCAGCTCTCCATCTCTCCACCTGCCAAGCAAACAGGTGGAAACAGCGATGAGGAAGAGGGTGAGGAGCGAGGGCAGGTGGCGGCAGTGGCAGTGGCAGTGAGGGGCAGGATCCCTCGACGAGGTCTTGCTCAGGTGTCCTCCGGCACCTGGAGCCAAATGCGTGGTTTTTTCTCTCTTGCCCCTCAGATCCAGGGGAAACGGCTTACCAGGTTCCCAGCTCCAGTTCTGCAGGCTTCTACCTGCCCACGGCAGACTTAGTGGCCCCTGCCAGATGTGCGGTGATTGGCCCAGGTGCCCCGTGACTACACAGCACCTGGGCCATTGCTTTCGCCTCCTCTGATCCTGAGCCTGCCTTAGCAGGCAGTACCATCAATGCTTCCTGAGCTGGCCGGGATGTGATTTGGGTGCCAATGGTCCCCATTGGTTTTGACTTCTCTAGACCTATTCCCGGCTGGGGATATCAAGCTTTCCCGAAAGGTGCTGCTGTTGGCAGGTCCTTGTAGCCATTTGGGAGCTGGGTTTCCATGTGATTATCTCCTGCTGCCTTCCCAGATCATGGAACCACACGGGCAGGAGCCCTGGGAACCAGTCAGTGACGTGAGCTTCTTGAGTAGTGGTTGCAAGAAGTAGCAGCATCATTTCCTGAAGTCCATAGCCAGGCTTAGAATCAAAGAGCTGGAGGCCCTCTTGGAGCTCAATATCTGGTTCCAGAAAGAGGATAACCCACACTCAGGGGTTGGGTATGGGCTAACTGTGGGTTGTTGCTGAAATGTGGGTTATTGTGTTGTCTGAACCAAGCCATGTTAACAAGCCATGACTTGTCTACCACAACCCATGAAAGGAATGGTTTGTTGTTGGGTTGTGAAGCATGGCTTGTTTGCCATGGTTGGTTATCTCAGCTGGGTTCAGACAATATAACAAGCCATGATTCAATGACAACACATACCTAGCCCTCGAGCGTGGGTTACAATGCTGTCTGAACCCAGTCATTGAGTCCAGTTCTCTGCTCAGTGCAGGTTCTGCTAAGCAGAATGGAGCCACTCAGACAGAAATGCAGAACCTCAGACACTCAATACTAATCCAGCTCTCCTGGAGCCCCAGCCTGCCTCTCCTCTCCTGGTCCCACACCCTGTTGACATCAAGCACCAGTCCCTGGGTGGTTGCCTGGGTTTTGCACATTTTTGTCCATTCTAAAATGTTGCCATGCCTCTCCTAAGGTTTACTTGCATACAGTATGACATGTAAACTAGAATCCCCTTTGCCTTCAGTCCCACCCCTTCTTGTGAGCGTCTCCAAAATTCAGTTCAGAGGTCCAGCATCCCTGGAATACAACCATCTTGCTTCTGCTGCAATGTCTCCAGGAGCATCTCAATCCCCCAAAGCAGCCTCAAACACTGTTCAGAGAGCAAGGTTTGAGTGAAATATGGGTCATAAGTTGTCTGGACCCAACTGCACTAACAAGCAATGGCCTGTTAAGCAAGACCCACCCATGAAGTTGACCCATAGTTTGGGGGAGGGTGAACTGTGGACCATGCTTTATTATCTTGGTTTAGCTCAGACAACACAACAGCCCATGTTTCAACAAGGACCCACACTCAATGTATTTTCAATTCCCCACCCAGGCTAGGCTCAGAGGAAGGGAGTGGACCATGGCTGCAGGTCCCGCTCAAGCACTAGGCAGCGTGTTGTGCAAAAAGCTGCAAAAATCCTTCTCAGGTTAAATAACCAAGACTACCATCAGAGTGAGGCGATTCCTTCATTTATTGCAAGAGGCAGGGAGAGCCCGCTCCACCAGAATCTCTCCAAAGTACAAACACACAAAACATCCCCTTTGAACCCTCAACCCATCCGCCACAGTCCTCCCCCTTTCCCTCATTAGGTGCCAGGAGGTTACAGTCTTTCCGTCCGCCTACTTCATAGCTCCCATCTCATCCCACTACATACATCTTCATACATCACATGTGCATTATAATTAGCCCATTGTCCATTCAGGGTGTGTGAGTCAATATTCATCAACCTATTACGCCTGCGGGTTCATAACTACAAGTTCACTGGTTCGCTCCTTTCTGGCTTCACCTTGCCCTCCGACCCCCATCTCATAAAACTACTGGGAATAGGAGATAGAAGAGAGCCTTCTTTCTTCAGCACAATTATCCTTTTCTCCCCTCCACATTCAGGCAGGCTTCATGGCTTGGTTGTTTGCCTCACTGCTTCTCAATCACGGAGTTCCTTCCTTCACAGAGTGAGGCAGTTGCCTCTGGTGGCAGATACTGAGAGGTAGCAGCAGGGTATTGGTTCAGCAGCACAGATAGCTCCTTAAAAGTTTAGACTAAAATCTGGAAAGGATACACTGCCCCACTGATCTTGGTGCCTCCAGCTTCCACTGCACATAAAAACCCAAAGCACAGTTGAGTGTGGGTTGTCATTACCTGCCACACCTGCACCATAGTTTAACAATGACTGACCATAAACAGGCCACGACCTTTTTATTTAAACATCATTTTAATTGTTAACATTATTTATTGATTTTATATCTTTGGCCAGGACGTCTCCAATTATATTGTTTTATATGGTTAATGTTTATTTATTTATTGTCGAGAGCCGCCCCGAGGCTTCGGCGAACGGGGCGGCATAGAAGCTTGCTACATAAATAAATAAACAACCCAGTGTTCACATTAACCATATGGGTTCAACCCATGGTAAAACCATTGTGGAGGGTTCACACATAAAGATAAGCTATGGTTCAGCAACAACCCATGATTCAATATTTACTTATTTATCTGGCCAGGGCGACTTCTTTTCTTTTCTTTTCTTTTATAACTTTTCTTTTATAATTTCTTTTATATCGTTTATATTTTTTATTTATTTTATATTATTAATTTTAATTTTATATTGTTATTTTTGTATTATATTGTATTTTATTGTGTTGTAAGCCGCCCCGAGGCTTCGGCAAGGGGCGGCATAGAAATGTTATAATAATAATAATAATAATAATAATTATTATTATTATTATTATTATTATTATTATTATTATTCAACGGCAATCCTGAGTACAGTGGGCACAAGAGAGATGGCTGTGGGTGCTTGGAGGCACCACATTGGAGAACCTCGAGCACCCCAGGGTCTAACTTCGGCGACATTACTGGGGTGTAAGCACTTCTGCTGCTGCAGAAGCAGACAAAAAGAGCTCCCCTTCCTTCCTCACGCTGCTGTGGTGCCGCTTTCTCTCTCCCTTCTCCTCTGGTGCCTTCAGATAACACTTCATTTTGCACACGCTCTTTGCTCACCGAGTATGAATCGGAGCTCCTGGCTGTGCGAGGTGCATGTCGCTTCCTGTCCTGTCACTCTTCCAGCACATCATGGAGATCCAGCACAGGCATTTTGTAAAGAAATGGGTCAGACTTGCCATACACTTTTCCGCTAGCTGTCAGGAGCCATTCACCTCTCTGCAGCTGCCTCGTGTAGTCCAGCACAAGAGGGCAAGAGTCTGAGAACCCTTGTTCCCCTGCCAGCCTGATTCTGGGTCGTAAAACCAAGCCTGCGTGAAATCCAGGGCACCTAACCTATATCTGGCTACAGCTGCAGGATGCTAAAGGACAAAAGAACCAGTGTGGTGCTGCTGTATTATTATTATTATTATTATTATTATTATTATTATTATTATTATTATATCATCAGCATCCCTCATCA